TTCCTTGCCTACAAGGAAGGCTGCAGTGACTGTAAGAGAGGTCCAGTGGGCAGGGTCTGTGGAGTACACAGGCCCTTCTGCATCCCTCTGTGTGCCCAGCAGAGTGCTTGCTTATACTGGGTACACATGAATAGGTGGAGAATGCTGAGCCCAGAGTGACAGGCTTGCCTAGAGACAAGGCCAAGGCTGGAGTGGACTGGCTCTGGAGGCCACACTGGGTCTTTTGGAATTTATCTTATATAAAAGAGGACCCAGCAACATTTGAAAAGCAGAAAACAGACCCAATCATGACAGTTGACATCGTTTTGGAAAACAGACTAAAGCCGTGTGGCAGACAAGGAGAACAGAGGGTGCAAGGGAAGGGTGCAAAACCACCAAGACAGTGAGGCCTGGGCCTGACATCACATCACGGGTCTGGATGGGCAAAGTCTAAAACCCTTGGAAGGAAGGATGAACAGGCCTTGGAGACAGACTGGATGTGGGGACATGGGGAATAGTGAGAGCTTAGAAGTGACTTGGGCAACCAGGTTGTCAGCAGTGCCAAAAGCTGAGATGGGAGAGAGGAGGGGTCGGGTGAGGAAGAGACAACTAAAGTGTTCAGAGACAGTGACTGCGGTGTGTGCACACCACAGAGGACGACCACTGCAGCTGTGAAAAGCCAAGCCCCACCCGAGCGCTACCCCACTTTCCTGACTCCTCCAGGAACACTAGTCACAGCAAGGGGACACACGGAATCTAGAACCCATCTCACCATTTCAGTGCCACCTTACACTTCCTAGTGAAGTGTAAGAGACGAGGTGCAGATCTGGGCTCCACTGCTCCCAGCCGAGAGCTTCGGCAGCCCATGTCTTCTCTGAGCCTCTTGTTTATAACATGGGGCTCACTCTGGCACTTTATCTAGACCTTGTAGTGTTGGGCCTGGCGTGATATCCACTAGCCACCATTAGGGATGGCATGGTGGTGGTGTTATTGGTGGTTGGGCCCAGGTGCACTGGTGATTGCGTATGTTAGATTTTAAGACTGTTGTGCCCTCTGTGCCTATAGAAAATGCAAGACCTAGTCTTGAGTGTTGTGTTGTCTTAGTGACAAACGAGGGGTGTCTCTGGGAAATCCTGCCTGTTCCACTGTTTCATTCACTCACTCAGCGCCCGCAGAAGCTGTCCCACACAGAGCTAATGGAGGAGATGGTCATGAAAGTCTGTCACTGTGAAGGTGGAGAGCAATAGAGGAAGGCCCCCCATATCAGCCTCTGGCTTCCACACACATGCCTATATACACGTGCACGAACTTGCACATGTGCACATGTATACACTGTACACACACAAAACTTCACTGTGGTAGACTGACAGTGGCATTTTAAAAAACTAGTTTTTTATTATTTTTATTTTTTTATGTGTATGAGTATATTGCCTGCATGTAAGTGAGTGCACCTGTGTCATGCAGTGCTGTGGAGGTCAGAAGAGGGCTTTGGATTCCCCTGGAACTGGAGTTACGGACGGTTCGTAGCCACCATGTGGGTGCTGGGAATCGAACCTGGGTCCTCTGCAAGAACAGTCAGTGCTCTTAACTGCTGAGCCACCTTGCCAGCCCCCTGACAGTCACATTTTAAGGGTCGGAGTGGAGCAGAGTAGGAAGACTGGTCCACAGGAGTGCGTTCTTTCTTTTTAAACAATTTTTGTGCATGTCATACACTATATCTTAATCATATTTAGACTGTCTCCTCTGAGGGGTGTGTTAAGTGTGGCCAAGCCATAGAGTTATGGGGAGCGATAGCAAGGACAGAGGATGTTCCTCCTAATCAGTGTAGGGATAGAGAGGAGCCCAGGTAACACCGAGGTGTAGGGCATGAGGCTGTGGGTGGTGGAAAGCCCCTGCCCAGGTTTATGGAGGGAAGCAATGGTCAGACCTTCACCTTGGTGACTGTCCTTTGGGAGGTGCAGGAGTAACCAGAGTAGCAGGTGTAGGATGGAGCAGTGGCTGAACTGAAGGAGGAGCTCAGATGCTAGAAGGAAAGGAGATTGGGTCAACAGGGCTTGAGACCTGTTGCAAAGGGAGAGCAGTGGATGGTGGACCCCCTAGGACTCTGGCCACTCTGTCTACTGGAGGAAGCCTGGGCTGCTAGAGCCATGTGAGCTGGGACAGTTGATTTGGCAGGGTGTGGCACATGCCTGCACCACTTATCTAATTGGATGGCTGGGCAGGCAGAGATGGGGGTGGTGCAGCAAAAGAGATGAGGTTCCAGAAAGAGTCTATAGAGTGAAGAAACATAAGGGCAGCCACTGGGCCACCGCCCCACCCCATACCACTAGGCCTTGAGCTCAGAATAGAGGCTCCAACCTGGAGACCCAGGCAAACCTCAGCAGCTTAAGCTTTTCACATCTGCGCAGGGCACTCAGGGACCAGCTGGTTCCCACTGATTGTACAGGTACTGCACCAGGTCAGTCCCAGCTCCCAGGGCCCCCAAAGGTGTCATGTCCTGCTGGGCCTGCCTTAAATCAAGCCTCCCCATGGGCTCTCCACCTGTCAGCGTGTGCCGTTGACAGATACTCCTCTGAGGTTTGGTTTTATTTGCTTTTCTAACTGACTAATCTTTTTTATTTCTTGGCCAAGTTACATAAATAATAGCACAGGAGAACTTTGGACATCCCTTTGAGTTCTGGCAGGAGAAGGTCCAGCAGCCAGGAGAATGTGAGCTCCACTCCTGAGACCTGGCAGGGAAGGGCAGCCTTCTGTTATCATGGGACTCTAGGCCCTGGGTGCCTGGGACCCAGCAGGACCTTCACATCAGCCCTTTGGCTTGCTAGAGCTGATGATGGCTGAGATGAGGGAAGTGACAGGGTCTGGACTGGACCTGTGACAAAGACCATCTCCCCTAACTGTGGTTCCTCCTTTTTAGCAGGGTGGAGGCTGGGCCCTGGGGACAAGAGTAAGGAAAAGTCCGTAAATAACAAGCTGGAACCTGGGGCTTGGCAAGTTAAACACAGAAGAATGTTTTTACCTCCCAGAGCAAGGATGGTCTTGGTGTACCTTTTGTTTTCCTGTTTTAACCAAAGATCAAGAGGGCTAGAGGAGCAAACAAAACCCTTTCCCGACCATGTGCTGGTGACCTTGGAGTGGTGTGCACCTGAGCGCAGCGGCAACGCACTTGAGCCATTGTCATTACCCAGGAACGCAGGGCCAGTGTCACTGCATGTATTAAGAAATCAGAAGCCAGAAGTCCAGATTTCATGGGAAATTGCCTGATTGGCATGGATTTTAATTTAATTTAATTAATTTATTAATTTATTTATTTTTGGTCTTTTTGAGACAGTGTCTCCCTGTAGCCCCAGCTGTCTTGGAACTCACTATGTTTACCAAGCTGACCTCGAACTCACAGAGATCCACCTGCCTCTGCCTTCCAAGGGCTGGCATTAAAGGTGTGTGCCACCACGGCCTGCTTCTATTCTCATTACATTTAAAAAGATTTATTAATTTTTTTCTTTGACAGTTTTATACAATGTATCAATGTATTGATTACTCTCTGTTCTCTACCCTCTCTTAGCTCCCTCACATCCTTAGCCCATTCTCCCAACCCCTCAACACACACCAAAAAGACAAACAAACACACACACACACACAGACACACACACACAAACAAACCCCAAAACCAAAAAAGAAAAAAAAAAACCCTGAACAATCAATAATTAAAAGACAACTTTTTTTTGTCTTTTTGAGACAAGGTCTCTCTATAGCCCCAGCTGTCCTGGAACTCACTATGTAGACCAGGCTGGCCTTGAACTCACAAAGATCTACCTGCCTTTGCCTCCCAAGTGCTGGGATTAAAGGCATGCGCCACCACACCCAGCTTAATTTTAATTTTTAACTTTATTATTTTGGGGTACGAGTGTGCATGATATGCATGTGTGAGTGTGCGTGTGCGTGTGCTGGGTCATGTGGAAGTCAGGATAATTTGTGAAGTCGGTTCTCTTCTACCTTTAGATAGGTTCTGGGGATTGAACTCAGGTCATTCATCAGCTTGTATAGCAAATAGTATTACCCACTGAGCCACCTTGCCAGCCCTGGCATGGATTTTTGTTTTTGTGTTTTTTTTTTGAGGCAGGGTCTCCCTGTAGCCTCAGCTGGCCAGGAACTCACTATGTACACCAGGTTGGCCTCAAACTCACAGAGATCCGCACTGGGATTAAAGCCTGTGCCACCATGCCTGGCTCCTGGCATGGATTTTAAAAAATAAACACTGCAGCCAAGTACAAGTCTGTGGGGCAGACAAAGCCTGGGGCTGGTGTCCTTTCTGGTCACAGCACACTTCATATTATCATCAGAGGAGAGAAACACCAGATAGAGCAGACTGAATCTGTTCCAGACTTCTCTAACATGAGCTGAATGGCCTGGGACAAGCCTGTCCCTTCTTGGGGCCTACCTCCTTTATCAGAGCAGTAAAGGTCAGGCCTGGATCAGTGGCTTTGAACATTTGTGTTTATTTTCTTCTTTTCAGCAGCAAAATCTTTGTTGTGGCCAAATCTTATCAGGAACAGATCACAGTGCATGAATAGAACAAAGCTGCCCCAGTTGCTGGAGAGTCTAGACCTTTGCTGCCTTTGTCCTCCCTTAGGGCACTTCTGCCCCCAGGGCACCTCTGCTAGGCTCCACAGAAAGCAGTGTGGTGGTGGTCCACCCACTGCCTCTGTTGTATGGATGAATGGGAAGAAGGGAGTGACTGCCGGGAGTGCTAGCCACAATAGCCTGTCTCATAGCCAAGCATGGGGCCACTAGCCGGCCACTAGCCCTGTTGGTACTTCCCGTGACTTCTGTATGTCACTGTACATGGGATTGAGGTGCCCACAAATCACTGGGCTGGGAGGTAAAGGAGCCCAGATGCCATCCAGTCCCACGTCTTGGGAACCATCCTTCCCTGGTGTTTCTGTGGCATGCTTCAGTTGGCAGAGTCCTTTTGATCTGGCTGGACTCCTCTAAACAGCACTGTTTTTTTAATTACCACACAGGAGACAGAACAGTCCGAGCCTAGAAGTGCAGAGGTGCCCAAGAAGCCCAAGGCCACCACCCCCTCCACCAAGAGGCCAAAGAAAGAGACAAAGAAGAAGCGGTAGAGGCGGAGCCTGAGGAGCTGGGCTTGGAGTGTGGACCTTGGGGGCAGCCATCCTGGGAACCAACATCCTGTTTCCTCTTTGTTGGTCTCTGTCCTTGGTTCTGGGTCTAAGATGACTGAAACTCCCTCTGAACACAGAGATCTGGACAGTCATCCTTAGGCTCCAGCTGGGCAGACATCACTTCCTCTTCTTTCACTCGGTGGTGCTGAAATGCCCCATGAGCAAACACTGCCTGAGAGGGTTCTGAAGTTAGGTACCTCATGAAGCCACACATTCATGCCTAATCCTCAGGTGCGGTGGTCACTTCCCTACCTGTGGGGTCACGCTACCCAAGTCTACAAGCACACCCTCTCCCCATTACCTATGCCACTCCTGTGCCTACAGAGCCTTGTGTTCAGGTTGGAACACTTGGCTGTGTAGTGTGAGCCATCTCACTCACAGTGACACCCAGATCCTGATGATGCTGGGGAGAAGAGGCCTGTGTCCCCTGATGCCTGCTCTCCAGTACCAGAAGTTGCTGTCTGATTGAGGCTGGATTTCTTGGGCACAGACTTTGTGAGCCTCTAAAATAGCAGGCTTGTCACTTTTAGACCAACTTCTTCTCAACCCATTCTAACATTCAAGGTGTGCCTTTGCCTTCTGCCTGTCATCCCCCACCCCTTTCATTCCCTGACCAGTGAGGAAAAGTTATATGGAGAAGTAAAGGTCAATAAACTGTCATGCATGCTGAACCTGCCTGTGTTGTCACTGTGGAGGGAAAGGGGCAGCCTGGGTTTCTGTACTGAGAGTGAGGGGGAAACTGACCCCAAGAGAAACGGGACAGTGTGGGTAGGATGGCCAGAATGGGCTCTTGGTCAGAGCAGCCTTCCAGGCCAGGCAGCTCTGGAACAAGTTTTCAGAAGAGTCGAGTCAGCTGCTCCATGAGGTCCTGAGTCACCAGGAACACTTGTGAATGAGTGTGGGTGACTTAGAGTTTCCACTGGGTCCTGGCCCCACTTACTCCCTAGGTTCCTGCAGCCAGAGGAAGGCACCAGTCCTCCTTGGAGGTGTGAGAAAGACCATATGCAATACATTAGAAAGCCATACAAGGCTCCAGGCAGCTATGAGCTCCGGCCCTTAATCAGTCTCCAAGGAAAAACCTGACCACCAAGAAGTTAGAGTGGCTGGCTCCTCAGTCTGCCAGACACTGTCCCAAGTGTTGTCAAGATGGTGAGGAACTTGAGGGATGGGCATCTGTCCATTTCTGCCGCTAGTCCAGGCTACTTGAGCATGCCACAACTGGGACTATGACCCAGGCCCACAGTCCTGGCCATGCTGTTTAACAGATATTTAGCTGGGTGTGATAGCTCAAACCTATAATCCCAGATTTGGGAGGCTGAGACAAGGGGATCAGGAGTTCTGGGTCAGCCTGAGCTACATGAGACCCTATCTCAAAAAACTACAAAAGGAAGGAAGGCAGGAGAAAGAAAGAAAAAGATACTGGTGTCAATAGGGCAGGTGCTGTGCTGTGCAGAGGGCTCGACAAGGCCTCCCAGCACTTCAGGTCTCAGGAAGTCTAAGAATGAATTCTACTTAGCAGAGGGTCACCTTGTGTAGACACTAGCATGAGGAAGGATTCTGCTAAGGATTTCTGTTTGACAAATACTTCATTTTTTGAGCCGGGGTCTCACTGTAACCCCAGCTGACCTGGAACTCACTATGTAGACCACGCTGGCCTTTATCTAACAGATCTGCTGTCTCTGACTCCTGAGTACCTGACAAACACCCCTTTTTAAAAACATATTTTATGTGTATGAGTGTATTACCTGTGTGTGAGTAGGTGCACCTGTGTCATGCAGTGCCCATGGAGGTCAGAAGAGGGCATCGGATCTCCTGAACTGAAGCTATGAAAGGCTGTTAGCTGCCTTGTGAGTGCTAGGAATCAAACCTAGGTCCTCTGCAAGAGCAGCCAGTGCTCTTAACCACTGAGCCATCTTTCCAGCCCCCAACAAACACCTCTTTTTAAAAAATATTTTATTTATTGTTTTTACTTTATGCATATGAGTGTATTGCCTGCGTGTATGTGAGTACACCTGTGTTGTGCAATGCCTCGGAGGTCAGAAGAGGGTGTCGGATTCCCCTGGAACTGGAATTAAGGACAGTTCGTAGCCTCCATGTGGGTGCTGTGAATTGAACCTGGGTCCTCTGCAAGAGCAGTCAATGCTCTTAACCACTGAGCCATTTCTCCAGCCCCCAAACACCTCTTAAACTCCTAGATTCGATGCACCAAAGCCACAGAATCAAGGGACCTTTGTGGAAACTCAAGATGCATCTGGCCTGGTGGGAGACTGGCCTACAGACAGATGTGGTGTGGGAGGCACCATCTCAGACCAAAGTTCAGCCCAGATACCTGGCAGAGTACAAGTGACCAGCAGACCAAAGGTTGGGAGGAGTTGAGAACTGAGGGATTATGCTGGGAGGGGGCGCCAGGCCCTAGAGAAAGCCTGTTCCTTCTGGGGAGGAGAGAACCTCTGGCTCTCAGGAGTAGTGACTTGGGATCCAGAGACCAGCCTCCTGGGTCTCCTCCCACCCCTGTTTCCCACTCAGCCTTGAAGAAGCCCCAGTCTCTAGACTCCCTGACACCTGTTCCCTGAGCTCTCATCCAGGTCAGAGTTTTCCTGAGTTACTCAGGGTTTTCCAGAATAGCAGAAGCAACAGGAGATCTTTATTGAGAGTTGGCAGAGGTAATTACAGAGGGAGGCTGATCCATCCCTTGATCCACTGTCTACGACCTGGAAAGCCAAGAGAACTGGAGCTGAGGCCAAGGAGGGGTAGAAGCCAGTCAGAGTCAAGGCCTGGGAAGCAGGCGTGGGAGACAGGAAGAGGATGGCCCAGCTCCTGCAGCCAGGCAGAGGGAGGGCATTCCAGCCTTCCTCACCTCTGTCTATTTGGACCCTCTACCAATTAGTCAAGGTTTAGCTGATCGGGGCGACCCACTCACCATACTCGGCAGCTCAAATTCTCATCACCCTCACACACACCCAGAATCGCTCTGATCAGATACCTCAGTATCCCCTAGCCCAGGGGAATTGATATAACCCTTATACCATACAAGTTCAAATCCTTCCCAAACAGCTCTCCAACCTATCTTCTAAGCTCCAGTCTCCTAAGACCTCACTTCCTACTCAATCTCTCCATTTGGATATTGTTCTAGTTTGCCTTCAGTTGCTGCAACAAAACACTCTTAATACCAACCCGGGGAGGAAAGGGTTTATTTGGCTTACATCTCCTCCGTCACAAGTCCTCAGGGAGCCCAAAGTAGGAACTCAGGGCAGGAACCTGGAGGCAGGAGCTGAAGCACAGGCCATGGAGGAATGCTGCTTACTGGCTTGCTCCCTCGGCCCATGATCAGCCTGCTTTTTTATACAATACAGAACAATCTGCCCAGGGGTGGTACTGCCCACAGTGGGCTGGGCCCTCCCACATCACTCAAAAAATCAAGAAAATACCCCACAGACATGGCCACAGGCTGGTCCAATGGAGGCAATGCCCCATTGAGGCTCCCTTAACCCAGGTGTGTCAAGTTGACACTAAAGCTATCCAGCACAATTGACCCCTTGTCATCTTGACACACAAACACATCACTATTAACCACAGCCTTTCCATTTCTTGTCCCCAAAATATGATGTTAACGATATCACAAGACAGTACAACCTTGAAAGTCCCATAGTCCTTAAAAAATCCAGACAACTTAAAAGTCCATAGTCTCTTTTAAAAGTCTCTAACTATGGGCTCCTGTAAAATCCAAAACAAGTACTGTCTTATTTCAAAGGGAAGAATTAGGCACATCTAAGCAAAACCGAAGTCCAGCAAAGTAACTCAAAGCTGGACACCTAAGATTCACTCGTGAGCTGAGCTCCTAAGGGTTTTGGCAGCTTCTCTTCTCTGACTGCCTTCCACAGCACATTCAGCTCATCTCGCAGACCCAGGCCAGCTCCAGTCCACACCTGCTGCTGCCCTTGGTGGTCGTCCCATGGTCCTGGCATCTCCAAAAAGCTGGGGTCTCCACTGAAACTGAGGCTGCGCCTTCACCAATGGGCGCTTCTGGCCTCTCGAAGTGCAAAGCCTCAGATTCTCTCCATGACCCCTTCAATCCTGGAGTCTTCGCCCCAACTGAGGCTGCACTTTCACCAATGGCCTTTCCTGGCCTCTCACAGTGCCAAGCCTCAGCTGCTCTCTGTGACCCCTTCACTTTTTCAACACCAGAATGATGCAGGAGACTCTTACACAGCTCCTGTTTCCAGCTTGAGATGGAAGCTCGGCTCCCTCTGAACCACAGCTTCTGTGTGCTGACCCTGAGGAAATACCTCCCAGAAGACTTCACCACAGTGATGCTGGTCTCTTGTTACTTACAGCTGATTTTTCAGCCCCAGCTAACCAGCATCAATTGTCCCAGTAAAGCAAAGGTTTTACTTCAGTGGTTCTGGTCTCTTCTTAATCACAGCTGATTCTTCAGCCCCAGCCAACCAGAACCCGCAGATTCTCAATCACATAAGCAGCCTTAATAGTCTCCACTTCCTTTTGAAGCTCCACAAGCCAGGCCTCCACCATCTACATTTCTCTGCAGCATAACTGTTCCAAGCTCCACATCAACAAACTCTAAGCACTCAATGATTTTTTCCAGCCCAAAGTTCCAAATGCTTCCACAATCATCCCCCAAACACCAAAGTCAGGTCTGTCACAGCAATATCCCACAATCCTGGTACCAATTTCTGTCCTAGTTTGCCTTCAATTGTAGTGACAAAATAATCTAATACCAACATTTGGGGGGGGGTATTTATCTTACATCTCCCAGGTCACAATTCATCAGGGAGCCCAAGGTAGGAACTCAGAGCAAGAACCTGGAGGCAGGAGCTGGAGCACAGGCCATGGAGGAATGCTGCTTACTGGCTTCCTCCCCTAGCCCATGCCCAGCCTGCTTTCTTATATGATACAGAACAACCTGCCCAGGGGTGGCACTGCCCTTAGTGGGCTGGGCTCCTCCCACATCACTCAAAAATCAAGAAAATACCCTACAGACATTACCCCATAGACATAACCACAGGTCAGTCCAATGGAGGAAATTCCCCAATTGAGGTTTCCTCAACCCAGGTGTGTCAAGTTGACAACTAAAACTATCCAGCACAGACATCAAAGAGCACCATATAGAAAATTCCTGGTCTCCTGCTAATCAGAAGCTTATAGTAGGATCGCCCATCTTTTGAAAAAATATTTTATTCCTAATTTATGAGTGTTTTGCCTGCATGTACGTAAGTGTACCACATGCATGCAGTGCTCACAGAGGCCAGGGCATCAGATACTCTGGGATTGCAGTGATGGTTGCTAGGCTCTGCAAGAGTAGCCAGTGCTCTTAATTGCTAGGCCATCTCTCCAGCCCCATCTTTTTATGATTTCTTTTTATTATTTCTAAACTGTGTGTCTGAGGGTTGGTATGTCCATGTGAGTGCAAGTGTAAGCAGAGGCCAGAGGTGTCAGATCCCGCTGGAGCTGGAGTTGCAGACGGTTGTAAGCTGCCCAATGTGGGTGCTAAACTCAGGTCCTCTGGAAAAGCAGTATGTGTGCTTAATGGCTGAGCTGTCTCTCCAGCCCCTAGTCTCCCTATCTTAAAAGTGCATCTTCACGGGGCTTGAGAATTGGCTCAGTGGTTAAGAGCATTGGTTGCTCTTGCAAAGGACCTGGGTTCGATTCCCAG